GTTCTCTGACAATCATGACCCACATGCTGCCCACATGCTTTCTACCAACGACGCAGTTTTCGGGGCGGAGCTGAATGTCCCGAGACTTCGCCCTGTCTTCTGTCTCGTCTGCTTCGGTCGTGTCCTTGCTTACTCACCTGCTTTCGTCTTCGGGTCCTTCCCAGCTCCTGGATCCGTCGTCTATGTCCCTTGCAGCCCGAAGTCGATTGGGCCTCATTCTTTCTCGGCCTCGGCTTAGGCGTGCTCCTTTTGCCTCTCCTCGAGGCCCTGCTCCTGCTCCGAGCTGCTGGACTTAGGCAGCTGGCTGTTCGACTGCAAAGCGGCTGCCTAAGCCCCCTTTCGGTTTCGCGCTTGTCTTTTGACCGAGGTTTAGTTCCCCCCCACCGGTGGATGCAAACTCGCATCCAGCGCTTAGGTGCTGGTTGAGATTTGCAAGGCGAAGTTCGCTCCTTGAGGACTTAGAGTACAACGGCGCGCTCGGGGGCAGAGTACAACTTCTCCAGCAACTGAACAGTTTGGGGGTCGACGACCTTCAGGTGCTGTACTCGAGGCCGCTGGCTCTGATTCCACCAGTCATCGCTGGGCAGCAGAAGGTCGGATCGGTGAGTTCGCAAGACCAAGGTCGTAGTCCCCAGAAGTTTCGCTGAGCGCCGAGCAAGGTGTGCCTGAAGTCGTGGATTGTGCCACCAGTCCTGTGGAGCCAGTTGCCATAAGCGCGGAGGGGCATGGCGAGCAGCGCAGGCGCCCTAGCAAAGACGGCAAAAGGAGACACGGACAGACGGACGGACACCCACTGGCGAAATGATTCCCAGCCCAAGGACCTGAGGCGGAGGGCGGATTGACTCTGCAACGGTCGCCCCTCAACACCGCTACAAGTATGCTAGGCTTTCCGTCTCGCCGCGTCGAGTGCTCCTCCGACACACCAGGCTGTCCAAGGCTGCTAAGGTTTGGTGCGCGATCGGATCCACGACGGCGTGGTCTCGAAACCTGGCAGGCGGAGCTGGTGCATGTCTTCCTGCATCAACCGCTGCGACGGTGGCGCTGAGCAGGGCTGGCGACTTTGTCCCCGACTGGCCGCGGCATTGTGCCGCAGGTTGACTCCTGCGAGACACCCGAAACAAACTCCCCCGGCAGAGTCGAGCAATCCATCCAAGGTAGAAGGCCAGCGGCAGAACACACCGCCTCGACGTCCGACTTGGCCGGCAGGCCCACAAAACCTGACAGTCCGCAGTCCGTGCCGCGCTTGCAAGGGTCGCGCAGCACAAGCCCGCCGAGGCTCGCGATGCTGGCCTTTGAAGGCCCTCAAAATCCACGGTCCCATCTCTCGACATGGAGGCAATGCAGAAGCTGGCCCTGACCTCGCAGGTGGCACAGGGCCCTGCCTTGCATGAGGGGGAGTGGCACTCCCAATTTTAGTGTGTCCCCTACCATTGTCGCCCTCTGCTTACCGCTACTGCTGGGACAAGCTGCTTTCCTCGCTCACAGTGCCGGCCGAAGCCAGACTGACACGAGGTGGGTTGCGGGGCGGAGGCACCGTGCAAAGCTACCGGCAAGGAGTGGCCATTCCGGAGATTCAGTGGCGAATGATTGGAGAACACCCAGACCCTGGAATTTTACCTGCAAGAAGTTGGGGCGGCAACGGCTTTGACGCTGACTGCCACTTGGACTTGTACAGACAAGGTCAGCACAGCTGGTTCGTTCTTTGCTCTCTTGTGAGCCCTGCTTTGGTGTTTCTTCCCTCCCGCACTCGCCAGCGCAGCATACTTGCACTCGGCGAGCCCTGAGCTGGAGGGACTGCAGCTGGTTGGCTTTCGAATATCCTTAAGGATGCCAGTTTGGATGCAATTTGTTTGCTCCACCTTTATATCATCGGGATTGTGCCACCCTGCCAGTCGTACCTCAAATAGCTTTTTTCAGGCAGTGCGAAGCAAAACGGTCTGCTGCGAGGGAATAGGAGGGCAGCTGACAACATGACCCACATGTTTTCTGCCAACGACGCAGTTTTCGGCCCGCCCTCCCGCCCGTTTCGACTACAGCCGGGTGGCTGTCGAATATCCTTAAGGATGCCAGTTTGGATGCAATTTGTTTGCTCCACTCTTGTGGCATCGGGATTGTGCCATCCTGCCAGTCGTACTTCAAACAGCTTCTTTCAGGCGGTGCGAAGCAAAAGGTCTGCTGCGAGGGAATAGGAGGGCAGCTGACAACATGTTCATTACCTCCTTTGGTCTCCTAGTTTTCCTGCTTGTCATGTGATCCGTGAAGTCCTGACGAACGTGGCCAGAAGGCCACTTTTACGATTCTGAGCTCGACACCTCCGCCCCATCAACGTGGAAGGAAGTCCTTCGGATCTGCTACTGTATTACAAAATCTCTCGTGTGAGTGTGCTACCAATGCGTTTACAAGTGCTATGCACAGTGGTACAGCCACATGTCAGTTCTGAGTTGCAAGTGTCCTGTACAAGGTCGGAGTGACATGTCAACTTGAGTTCGGGTGTTTGCACCCTATTGAGCCCGAAAGGGCACGTGTGTGTGTGTGTGTGTGTGTCAAGCCCTGTCCTAAAGGGCTTCAGGGTCAGCAGGAGGCAGCTACATGTTCGCTCTGAGCTGCAGGCTTCTCGTACCAGGTCAAAACTACATGTCAATTTGAGAGAGCGGAGTGTTTCCATCATACTCAGCCCAAAAAGCGTGTGTGTGTGTGTGTCAATCCCTGTTCCTAAGGGCTGTCTTCAGCTTGAATTTGTGTCAGCAGGAGCAGGGGGATGTGGCATGAAATCAGGGACGACGTCCGAGCAGAGCCAAGCCAGCTGTGTGTGCTTGCTTAACGATGAAAGGCCGCCCGCATGTACCCCTAATTGTCGCTGTTGCTTCGTCTTGGCGCGTGAGTGATTTCTGAGTGTTTGCATTTGCGATTTTCGGAAGCATTTCATAGGTCCGGATATCCAGTGTGCTGAGGCTGTGCACAGTTGACAAGGTCTCAGGTCTAAGGCTGATTTTCGACATTGATTCATTTTCGTTGATTTCGAGTGATATACTTGACTCTCAAGGCCGACTTCAGGCCTGCGACACATTGTGTCACGTGCGTGTGTGTGTGTGTGTATGTGGGGGTGCAAGGCTTTGCCTCGCCATGTTTATAATTTACTTGTTGTGGTCTTGGCAGAGCTTGAGGTTTGGACAATGTCCCGAATTTGCGGCCAGCTGGGGCATCCACCGCTAACGCTCGCTGGAAGCCGACGGTTCGGGCCTTGCAGTAAGTCGCAGATTTTCACAGCGCCGTGTGCAACGACAGGTAGATGAATCGGCGAGCTTGATGGGGGCCTCGCCAGAAGCACGGGTTGATCACTCAGTGGCGTGCAAGAGTGTTAACATTTGAGTCCGCATCAATGCAACTGCTCAGTGAAGTTTGTCCATCAGTTGCCCAGCATGAGATGCTTTGTGTAGTAGTGGAGATGTCTGTCACCCAAGCTGAGCGGGAGGTTGGTGTCGTGTTGGGGGTGGGCGCCCTCTAGTCTGTGACCTGTGAGCAGAACGGAATTCTGCGCCATGTGCAAAGAGGTGTTGTTGGGGGTTCCCAACCTGGCCGGCAGTTGGAGAATTTGTGTGTGTGGTACGTGTCCTGTTTCTTGGATTGCGCCGAGACACTGATGGGAGTTTCCGTTGCACTGAAAGGCAACGGCCTTGAAACCGAGAAAGCGGGCAATCCACGGGCACCCTGGGCGCCGAAGAGAGTTGTTTCACAAGTGTTGCATTTAGGGTACAAGTGAGTGGTCGGAGCTGTGCATGTTGAAGACAAGCACTCGCACAATCATATGTGTGCAGTGTTGATCGCTGTTGCTCTCAATCGACAGGGTCTCTCTGTGTCTCTGCCTGCGTCCCCACACCTCCCCAAGATGCATCATTCTGCTTGCTCCTGCTATAGTTCCGACAACGACCGGCATCGCGACGTTTCTGTAGGTTGAGTACTTTCGGCCTCCTAGTGCAAGCTTGCCTTTTCCTTCCTTGTCTGAAGGCAGACAAGTTGTATAGAGTCGCAGGTGAACCTGCGCAAACCAAAAATGCTTCAGAGCGGAGACTGCCCCGAATGCAACTGCACCGGCTTGTCTGACTAAGTCCGACCAGATGCCGGTGCCCATCGTTCTGGGTCACGGCGAGGTCCAAATTCGGCAAGCTTTCCACGCTGTTTCTGTTCAACATGTTCAGCTCTCTCTCCAATTTTGTTAGTATCGCTTTCCGGCGTAAGTCAAGGAGTCGAGTGCTGTCGAGTGTCATGCAAGGCCAATCGGTGCATTGGAGATCGTAACTCGCCGCCTGCAGGACGTAGAGAATGGCGCTCGAGGCCGTGGACCCTTTGCCTTGCGATCCTCAATTGGACAAGTTATGGTCACATGTGTGCTCGTCTATACTTGTATACCTTGTCGGCAGCTCACGAGATGCGCAATATCCGCGAACCTCTGATTCGCAGGATCGACGCTGACACTTTGAGCGGTGATGCTGGTGGAAACTATATAGGCTTGTGTAAAAAGCACGCCTCTTGTCAAGTAGCTACGTTTTGCGTGGGATTGCTTCCGTTCAACGCAGAACCCAATGCATGGGAAAGACCATGGGGGTTCAAATGTCGAGGTCAAAAATCTTTCTTGCGTTTGAAAGATGCCCCCTCGGCTTCGCAGCATTGGATTTGCAGAGAGCATGGCATATATTCGGTTCATGCACGGCACAGATCGGCGCGACGGAAGAAAAGACAGCCATGCGGCGTTGCTTCGCCGGAAGCCTGCTGGCATGGATTGGATTGCACTGCCAGGCCCGCATCAACAGATTCGTGACTTTAATTTAGAAGTAGGCAAGCCCTGTTGCTGCCAGGTCAGTTGCGTGCCTAGGGAATCGCCATTATTCGACCCAGAGCTGCACGTGTCTTTGGCTTATCTGCTGCAAGTCTCGTCTGTCACGAAGCGAACACTCTCCGATCCGTCAGCAGACGGGGTGACAAGCTTTGTGATCAGGCCAGACATGTCCAGCTCTGAGGCCAGTTTCAGCACAGTGCTTGACCCAGAGCATTTGTAGCTTTGGCATCTTGATTTTTGCATTAGAGGCTGTCCCGCAAGCAGATCGGCGAGAGTCGGAGAAGGCACCAGACTTGGTTGAGCAAGGGTCATCGAACACGAAGGGAGCGACAACGCGAAAGACCTATGGTTGTGAATGTGTGATTGCGAGAGTTGATCCCCAAGGTGACATAGGGCAGGTCGTGAAGTGCCCAGTGCATGTCGCAGTTTGTCCACCAGGGCTGCCACTGGACTTCGAGGCTGAAGTTCGAACTTTGCGGCGAAGACAATTGCCACGAGTCCGAAATTCTGGCTTTCGACTTTCAGCGGAAGTCCTGGGATTTTTATGAGGCCATGAACTCGTAAACATGTGCTGTGCGTGCTGTCCACTTCACATGGTGCCAATTTGGGCAGGCTGAGCTGAGCCTGATTCATTGCTTGCTCGTGTGCAGGGCAGAAGCACAGCACCACCATTGGAGGAGGCTGCCTTCATTGTGTCTATGCCACCCGAGGAGACTTGTAGCAAAGTTCAGTGGCGAGCAGGCATTTCTGGAACGGTTGCCGAAATAGTTTCGCGCAAATCGGCTGGCTGTGCCGCGAGTATTTGAGTCCAGCCTGCAGCAGTGTTGGCGTGGCTGCTGCTGGGCCAATTTCGCAAGAGCATGAAGCGGCATCTACGAAATTTGAACATCTTCCCGTAATGCTGTCGCAGGCAGTCTGAGCCCTGAAAAGTAAGTAGGTCTTAATTTAATTCTAAACTCTTCGCGTCGTCTGCTTCGGCCCGGCCGCAGACAAAGAGACTGCTCAGTGGCGGAGCGGAGCAGGAGGGGCGGAGGGAAGGAGGGCGGGCGGATGAGGGGGGAGGGTTTGGGTAGTGGGAGGGGAGAGTGAGGAGAAACAACCGAAACTTCACCTCACTGAGATTGTGGGCAGGATAAGGGCGGGTGGGTCACTGGGGAGGGGAGGGGATTAAGACGAGGGGAAGCAAGGGATCCTTGTGGGAACCTCTCACCGCTTCGGTGAAGACATTTTAACTTGATCTAGTCTGTGGCTGGCTTGCTGCTAGAAGTTCGTCTTTGGGTTGATTGGGCGGGTAACCTTCCATCACGCTGCCATGCACAAGGCTCAATACCAACCAATCGTATATATAAATTCGCAGAAGCGCTCTTGCTGTCCATGTGGAGGCGAGGCTTGAAAAACACGACATGCACAGCCGAGGAAATGCATGGTGCTTTCGAGCTTTGTCCGGGTATGGTGATCACCGGACTTCTGCTGGCTGCAGAAGCGATGTTGTTCTCGATGCCGCCGAGTGACCGCAATCCTTTGCAGATGGCGAAAAGCTACTTGCAGTTTCTGTGGCGAGGATGCACAAAAGCCAAGGTTTTTGATAACGCGTGCGATGAGTTTTCCTGTAGTACGTGTCTGCTACGGGCATGTTTTCACAAACAAGAGAACTCTATCGTGTTCGCACTCAGTATAAATCTTAAGGGCACCTCGGGAGTCTGTGCACGTTAACTTTTTAGATCAAAAATGCTGATTGTCGTGATGTGAACGTTTTCACTCAGACCAGCACGGTCAATGCAATTGTCGATCTTAGTGAGATCTGAGCGTACTTACACCATGGCTGTGTTGGGACTTGTGTGCACACTTTGCAGCACATCTGCAGGTGTGTCGTAATCAATACTCACAATTGTTGGGCTATGCGTGTGAGGATAAGACTAATCTTGGTGGGACTTCTGCCTGTTTGCTCGAGCGACTATACCGGGCCAGTGTGTCAGGTTCAAGGAGGACGTGTCCGCCTCGCTAGTTTGTCGTACTACGCTGGACTTGTAATCTGGTCTACCGACCACCGTTACCAAACATGTAGAAGAGTGATGATTAGGGTCATGGGTGGGCCACGGTTCACTTTGCTTTAACAAAGGGGAAATCTTATTGTTTTCTGCTGAAGAAGCAAATTCTCATGCTGCCGCATCGTTTGCCCACAAGAATGGAAGTTTGCCATCGATGAAGTCCTCAGCCTTTACTGCAGCTCGGGAGACTGCTGCTTCACCAACCAAGGTTCACTTCGAGCCGATGCTTGGTGTGGTCAGGTTTACGGCGTTTACCGTCCACGTACTGCAGCTCAGGAGAAGATTACGACACGCTGATCTCCATGTGGCCAGTTCTTCAGGGTCAGCGGCGCGCTGAGGATGCCAACTCCAGGGTTTCAACTGGACATCAACCTTCCGTTGATGTGGTATCGTGGTGAAAGGACAGGAGCGGCAGAAAGAGCTTCGAGGCTGAGATAATTAGCCTTCTGCTCTTGACTTGCGCCTTCCCAGGTAATTGCTCGCTGTGGCACAACACTGCGATGGTTATGGTCTTTACCGCTGCCTTCCCAGGACAAGCGTGAGCAGAGCGTTTTTGTGCGACTGGCATTACAGATGCCTCACCAGAGCTTGTGCAGGCTCGGGTTTTCATATACAGCAAATGCGATGTCAAGACAGGGGACCTACAAAAGCAACTCGAGGGATCGTGGCTGCACTGGCTCGAGCACAGATTTCCGATGTCACTCGACGTGTTTTTCCTTGTGAGTTGCAGAGGTATTGTTGGGCGAGTCGCCCAAGTCGTGGAGGTGCCACTGCCAGATCTTACCGGTTGGATGACAGGGGAGTGTACAGCATACCTTCGGCATTTACTCAGTGGTTTAGCCGGGAGCGGTCCAGTCAACGGCCTGGCGGACTATACAATTTTTCTTCATGACGATGCACCTCGACATCTGAAACAGGAGTTCTTGTCCATTGTCTTCAGGAGCATATCCTTGGGCACATACAATGTATCGTTTTTGAACTTGGCCCACGAGCGCTATGTGTCTGCTGTGACCCCTTGCTTGAAACAGCTGTACACGATGGTCATGGGGCGTCAGCTGACCGGCCGCCTTTCTACTTATTGCTGCGGCCATTTCGTTGTGAAGTCGTCTCGCTTACACGAGATACCTTTGGAGCCACTTCGCCGGCTCTATGCAGCCGTGCAGGCTGGAACGTACACTGCGCAAGCCGGAGGACCTTGTGAGGCCATTTCAATTCAGGGACACAGGGTAATGGCAATCTGAGATTTTGGGCACCAACAGTGACATACAGTGACCTACACGTAGACAGCATATATAGAATCATGGAAATACCACCTCTCTACGGAATCCATAACTAGTTGCAATGAGTTTGGCAAATAGACCGTCGTCATTGTCATTGTCAGGTTGCCAACATGCCCTGCTACGTGGTGGAGTATTTGTGGCATGCAGTCCTGGGGGAGCCAGATGAGTTGCCGTGGCGATCTGAAGATATTCGCTTGCCGCTAGCTCTGCGATACGAGGGTGGCAGAGAGACTCGTCGCTTGTACCTGAATCATCACCTCGCCAGTTTGACAGAGCACAGCCCCACGTTGCATGAAAGGATGCGAGATGAAATGCCGAGGCTTGCCGTCTCCATTGCGGTTCTCCCAGTACATGAAACTTCAGGCGATATAATGGCAGCTCATGCTGAAAAAGATGATCGTGACGGGCAAGCTTTGCGAGCAACTCGTGGTGTGGAGTGTTGCCCTGCCTCTGTGCATAGCGGGCAGCCTAGACAGGTGCATCAGCAGCCACGCGACGGACAATGTTAACACTTCATGTGGCCTCGAATGTCCCCTGGAAGTCGCCGTCAGCACGATTAGCATCGTGGGCATACTCATCATCATCGTCGTCATCCGCATCACCATCTTCGTTGTCATCCTGTCGCCATCGTAGTCGTCATCGTCTTCGGCATCATCATCGTCATCATCGTCATGGTGATGATCATCATTACCAGGACTGTTCGCATTGTCATCATTGTTCATCAGTGTCTTCGTCACCCTTGCGGTCAGCGTCACCGTCAGTTGCCACTGGTAGCAGTATGGCAGCATTATCAGGTTGACCGTTGCCAGCTGCAAACAGCCAGTGATGGCACTTGTCATTCACTCCGTGCTGGTGCCAGGGACGTTGGACCGTAGAAAGACGATGACGGTTCGATTTCCATTGCTCAGCTTGTTGGTTTGTATTATCGGCAGGATGTAAACATGGGCACGCATGCAACTTCAACATTCTCACCCTATCGTGCCATCTAGGGAGCCTACGCATTGCTGGAGTTCATAAGGCCTAGTGAGTTCTACCCTTATCCATCAAGGCTCAAGCAGCCAAATTAGTTTTGGAGGGGCTTTCGCCGGCATGGCTGAAGAACAGGACTTCGGTGGGACTGGGCCGAATCGTCCTGATACTCATCGTTGTATTTCGAAAATGCCGAGGCAATTTCTTAAAGTTGTGTTCGACTCGACACGTCAGGGCGGTATTGCTCACATGGCCGCAAAATTGCGTGTTGAGTGAGGGGTAGAGCCCGACACACATCTGAAGAGTCACAGGAGAACGAGCTCGTCCCCGAAGAGGAGGTTACCTCCATCCCAGGTCCTGTCGGTGCAGCTCCTATGTGACGTGAGCTTCAAGACTTACTTGTTGGCCGCAGGCTGGGCTCCCACGGTGTCTTTGCAGGTGCAGGACGCAGCAAAGTCAGAGTTTGATCGAGTTACAAGTAAGATCGGGACAAGTTGTAGGCTGTCAAGCCTTTGGGTGTGCAGAGAGGACATCCGAACCGGAGAAGAGGAAGAGGAAGAAGTCTATTCGCAGCGTTCGAAGCTGTGCGCGTAGTCAGGTAATGTACGGCTGCGCAGCAAGACATACCGCATGACAGGTTTGAGAGTGAGCCGATCGAAACCAGGTACCGCTTCAAAGACGGAGACTGGAAGGAGAGAGGCCTTGGGGACTCGAAGCTGTTGAGACACAAGGTCTTCCTGCCACTGTTTGTGCTCACGGGCTGGGTTCATTGGGTGTTGCGTTTGCTGTCTTTGGCGCTGTGTGTTCTCGCAGGTTTCAGGAAGAGTTCGTTACATGATGCGACAAGAGAAGACCGGCAAAATTGCTCGACACTTGGCCATTCAAAGCCGGCCGGATGTCTCTTTCATCTGGCCCCTGTGCAAGGTGGCGAACCATTTCGTCTTCGAGCACCAGCTATACTGCGTTCTTGCAAATCAAAACCAGAGTTTCAGACTCTGCAGATGTCATAGCAATTTGCACAGCGCATGAGAGCACACGACTGCTATCTGTGCTAAGGTGACAAGATTCTGATGTGGACTGCCTTGGACTATGCCGAGGACACGTGGGATGCTGTTTGTCTACTTCCCAGGTTGCCTTACTCTTATTTTTGGTTGTCTGCAGGATGAACAGCATGCGGAACAGTTCGCATTGAAATTCAAGGACAAGGAACTGGCTGAAACGCCGGGTCCCAAAACACAGAGCCACGTAGGAGCCAGCGATGGCATGAAAAAAACTGAGATCGCTTTGACTCACCGAGGTTCCGAACTGCCTTTGACACAGCGAAAGTTGGCCAAATTTCCGGCAGTCCCAAGGCAATCCGAGAATCAGTAGTCGGAGGAGTGCGAAATATATGAGGATAGAATAGCAGGATGTGGTATGCATGGAAGTGCTTTTCACGCAAGCAGGGTCGTCATGCATGTTGACATGTCCTTTTCGCCTAGGTGTGTCCTTGGATTACTATAGTCATGTTGGCATGTGCTAGAAACCTTTTGTTGCAACTGGATGTCCATGTGTGGTCGCCACCGATGTCTGTGCTTTTGAGGACGGACTTCATGCTGCAACACCCTGATCTTTGGGCTCAGCAAAACTAAGCTGTAACTCTTGTATGTTCTGGGTTGGTGGTAGCTTGGAATTTCCTAACTAGTGCCGATACTGCACAGACTATTGAGTACTGCAGCTGCTGCTGCTGACTTCTACTGTGAGTAGAGGCATCGTTGTAGTAATTTCGTAGTCGCCCGGTAGGCCCGAATCGTAAAAGGCTTCCTATAGGGCATGGGTTTGGGATTCAGGGTGGGTTTAGGGTTGGGGGGTTTAGGCTTTAGGGTTTCGGGTTGGGTTTAGAGTTTAGGGTTGGGTGGTTTAGGGTTTAGGATTTAGGGTTGGGGGGTTTAGGATTTAGGNNGGGTTTAGGCTTTAGGGTTTCGGGCAGTCCTACCATGCAAGAACGTGAATCATGAGCCCAAAACTAGCGCGTCACTGACCGTTCCTGGGTGTTCAAGCAGATCACGTAGCGATTGTAGTGCTCTTCGCAGTAGTGGCAGTGGTAGCATCAGCAGCAGTAGCAGGAGCCGTCGTCGTAGTAGTAGTAGTAGTAGTAGTAGTAGTAGTACTAGTAGTAGTAGTAGTAGTAGTAGTAGTAGTAGTAGTAGTAGTAGTACTAGTACTAGTAGTAGTAGTACCAGTATTGGTACTAC